ATAGTCAAATTTAATTTAAGTACCACATAAATATTTAATTTTCGCCTCTATTCTCCCATAAATACTCGATTAATGCATTACGAAGTGCGAAATACGCATCTTTATCCTTAATTTTATACAATTATAGTAATAATAAAATTAACTTATAATTTTATATAAATATAATATATATAAAAATTAATATATCAAAAAATAGGATATAAAATTAANTGTTAATATATATATATATATATATATATATATATATATATATATATATATATATATATATATATACCCATTTGTATTAGAATAATTAATAATTAATTATTTCGAGATAAACTTCATCTCGTAATCCTTTACGTACTCAGTATCACGGAAAGTTTTATTTTGTGTATCATACAACTGACACTAGTTGTATGAGCTATTTTTTTTGTCTCACAGTTTGGTGGACCCAGATTTTTGTGGACCCAGAAATATAAGATAGGGGTCCACAAATTTGTGAGATAAAAAGGAGCCTCACACAACTAATGTAAGTTGTGTGAGACACAAAATAAAACTTCTCCCAGTATCACAATCAAAATTTTGAAACAAAACAAAAAAAAAAAAAATTATCACACTCCTATAAGAGGGGGGAGCACCCAAAAATACTGGAAACGCATAAAAGAATTAATATTCAATCGAAAAAAAAAAAGAAATTCAATTCTAGGCCTAATAAATAAGTTTCTTAAGTTTCTTTTCCTTAGGCCATCTCCAAGGCTAACTCTATTTTTTGCATCAAATTTCACTCTAAAATAGTGCAACATCAAATTTACTCCAACCAATATAATCATTTATTACAAAATTATTTTAAAGGATGAATTAACAAAAAGTGAAATCATTGATAAAAGATAATTAAATAAATATTNTAAACCCTTACTTTAAGATTGATTGTCCACATGCTTTTTTTATTGATTGCAAAACACAATGTAGTGAAAGTTATTTTTAAACAAATTTAAAAGAATATACTTTATTTTCTGAATATAAAAATTCAATTCTCGGAATAAATATATGTTTGGAAGTACATAGACCTATCATGATTTTTGTATATATGACCCTATTGTTAAGACCTTTACAGACCTTTCTTTGTACCATTACACGAGTCATTAGAGGGGTCTAAGTTTCTTCGTAAGCATGATTTCTTCAAAACTAACTTGTAAGCAAATGAAGATTATTTTTAACTTTGACTATTATGTACATAGATGACATTACCTTGCGTAAGATAGTATTCCCTACGCTCCAATTTATATGATACACTTTCTTTTTAGTTAATCCAAGAAAGAATAATATCTTTCTATATTTCGTATATAGCAATTCTACTTTAAACTTTTCATTTTATCAATGATTTATAGTCAAAGAAACTTTTGCACTTTGTTCCTTTATAGTACATTAGTGCTCCGCCGTCTGATTGACATTGTCTGATGATATGCCTTCAATATGTGAGCTGATTGTATTAAATGTAATTCGAAAAATTTACATGAGCACCTATTATAGTTATTTAGTTTTGATTATTGTTCTAGGTGGAACTATAAATATATTATTATTTTAAATGCTCGTCTTTTATAATTTACTCATAATTAAATATAAGTTAAATTAAATTCAATAATTTTTACTCCTATTTTATCCGTGATGAAATTACAATCTGTCATTAACCACAACTCTAATTAAATTGACGATAATACTTTTGAAAGGGAGTTCTTAAGATGATCTTTTAAAACTTCCTTAAAAAAAATATTATTTTAAGTTTTATATTAATCATTTTTTTAAAAGTTCTTTGCCTACTCGTTTTTCTAAATGGATTCATGTAATAAATTAATCTATATTAAACTGCGAATGTAGTTCAAATAGAAAAAAGATTGGAAAAGATCGAGTTATTCAAATAATTAGTGTTCTATGTGCTAAAACCCTATGGCAAATACTTGTATTGGTTATATTAGCCGACAATGTGTGAAGGCTACAATAGCGTAAGTAGCGAGTTATCCAAATATCATTAGGAATGTAATCATTGTTGTCCAAAAAAAAAAGATTCTATATTCTAAACCATGCATATTTAACGGTGAGTTTTTCAAAAACGAATTACTATAATTATGTCCTCTTTAGGTAAGGAATTATATCTAATATTAGAATTATATCCAACATCATATTTCTTAGCTAAATAAGTATCTAGGGCTATTTTGGTCAACCAAAATTGTATTCATGCTTTTATATATATATATTCGGCTAGCAAATGCAATTTGTTTTAGCCTCTCAGCCAATTTTGTATTTTGTCCAACTTTTTAGAGGACGTAGAGAAAAGGCTTTGGCCGTGAACTGGTTTCCTCTCATATACTGTCGTTGATACATGTTTCCTATCACCGTAAAAATGAGAAAAAATTGCTACTCCCGCTAATGTCAGAAACGGATATTCTACGTGATTCATTTTAAATTCAGCGGGAGGTCTTCAAGTCTCGTTACAGATTGAAGTCCTAATAAAAAACGAATCCGCTCCCTCCCAAGTCAAAAGTTTTCCCGCTTTTTTTTTTTTCCGGGTTGGGCATAAAATTACATATATATATNATTAACTTATAATTTTATATAAATATAATATATATAAAAATTAATATATCAAAAAATAGGATATAAAATTAAAATTATAAAGATCTTAATATAAAAGTTAATTATATATACAATATATGATAAATTAAAAGTTAAAAAATAAAAAAAAAAGTGAATAAAACAATATTAAATCAAATATAGAGTAATGAATAGAATTTGGTGCAACAATATTCATGCTCTATAATAGAGCAAGAAATAGAGTGGCATTGGAGCAAGAATGCACTATTTCTTGCACCAAATTTGGATTTGGTGCAAGAAATAGAGTTGCATTGGAGATGCTCTTATAACTTCAGAAGTTTCTAGAATCTTTTCACAATCCAATAAAATAAAAAGAAAATCAAGCCTTATAAATACACCTCCGTTTTCCCTCTCCAGTCTCCAAAAATACTCTGCCCTTTTCAGTTTTACCTAGGGTTTTGTGATTCCTTTCAGTTTCTCCTAAAATCTTCAATCAATCAATGGCCGCCTCCTCATCAACAGCAGCAGCAACATCTGCTGAGAAGAAGATGCTGATCTTAAAATCATCCGACGGCGACGAATTTCAGTTAGAAGAAAACGCCGCCGTTCAATCCATAACCATTAAAAACATGGTGGAGGATGATTACACTCTCATTCCGCTCCCAAACGTCGATACCAAAAACCTAACCAAAATTACAGAGTACCTGAAGATGCACGCCGATGAGCAGACGGAGTCGAACAAAGAAGAAATCGAAAAATTCGACAAGGAATTCGTGAATGCTACCTTTCAAGACCTGTTTGAACTTGTGTTGGCTGCTAATTACCTTGATATCAAGGGTTTGATGGATCTGTTGTGTCAAGCGATTGCTGATAGGATTAAGAACAAGTCGTATAAAGCTGTGAGGAAGATTTTCAATATCACTAATGATTACACTCCAGAGGAAGAGGAAGAGGTTAGGAAGGAACATGACTGGGCACATGAAGGTGTGGAATGGGACGAATCTACTGATTAGGGTTTGGTTTATGTTTTTGGTTTTTAGGGGTTTTGAATTAGTTAGTTTCTGGAAACTTCTCTTGGATTATGTGGTTTTAAGTCAAGATTACCTGATCTCTGTGTTTTGATATTTTCCGTATTTTCAGAGTTAGCAGTTCTGGATTCGTAGTTATTCCGCTAGATAATTGTAGTATTAAAATTCTAAATCATATATCATCAATTTTACTCTAATGACCAGAAAGTGATACTACTCAACTATTTGCTTCTGGTGGTGGGCATTCTAGCATTCTACCAGTTTGAATTGATTGGATATGAGAATTTTAGTTTGAATTTTTGATTTTTGGATTGAAAAATAACTATCCAAATCCGACCGAAATAAACTCGGATTGGATTAGATTTTTCAAGTTTGATTTCAAATTAATCAACTTAGATATTTTGGATTTTTTAATTTTGAACCTATAAGTTGAAATGTTTGTTCTTCTTGCAAAAGAAACGAAGATCCAAATGAAGAATTTATATTAAATTACCTAAAAAATTCCTCATTCCCAGTTAGTCATTCAAATAAAGTAAAGTAATGAAAATGCGACAATGACATTAGACATTACTGATAAGCTAGCTTCTATTGAACTGGAAACAGATCTCTTTTGTCTCGCGCTTCTTGTTATACACTTTCAGGAACTTATCCTTTATCATTTAATAACCAGATTTCATATGTTACTGAATCATTCAAACATTTGAAACTTTCACAAGTTGAAATGAGATTTTTAGTCTCCTCAAATCGCACAATTATGTAGCAGGATACCTTGTGGAAGAGGATCCGAGTTACAAGATCATAAATCGGAACAAGAAAGCAGAAAAAGAAGAAGAGACTTCATATACATAGTATTACAGGCAGTCGTAAGCAATTAGCATTGCCACGGCTGCTTATGTTAATCTATATTCTTGATGGTCAAGCAGCAGACGGGCGTGGTAATCTCTTGGCGATTTCCTGCAAGTAAAGCTATCAATGAGCGAATATTACCCAACATTTGTGTTCAAATGCAAACCAAACAAAAAATAAGGCCTAATCGAAGATAAGGATCTATATATGCAACTAGCAGTATGCTTACTTTTCCTACATTTTCTAGGAGTCTTTTAGTCTTGTATTTTATATGCCGGTAGGAGATACAGAGAACGCCTTGTACTTATTTTTATTTTGTATTATACTGATCTGGTATGTGCTAAATGGGCATCATGGTTGGGGAAGATTCATATAACCGACCTCAACGTGCTATTAAGGCTTTACTTCGTGTTGTTTTTTACGAAGAAGGCTTACTTCTTGTTGTTGTATTTGTGTTCAAATGCATTAATACTCAGCAAAGAGATAATTAGAGAGGGAGGAGGAGAGCACAATCCGAGCATGGAACTGGACACAACCAGAAAAACTGAGATTTCTCTGGTTCAAGAGAATATAAATGTGCGCACACGTATTTTGGATAAACTAATTTCAGAGAAAGCAAGATCCTCAGAACTCTCTTGATCAGACTGAAAAGGTAAGACAGTGTTCCCTTCCTCCTCTAATCTTGCTCAACCCCAACTCCAACCTTAAAAAGGAGGAATGGAAAAGCAAGAGAACTGAAAAAGGAAGCCCGAAGAAGATCAATAATATGAACAAACAACAGTTACCCAACAACTGGATTAAGTTTATCCGAACAACAACAATGTATTGCTCATAGGACAAAATATAGGTTAATCGCATTGTAATTCATTGCATTCACCTATAAAGGTCCAATTACATATGTATACCTTAAAAAGGTGAGAGTTTAAAATTTGAAAGATGAAATGACATTAGGAACATACCTCAAACAGCTGGTTGATATTATCAGCTGTCTTAGCAGATGTTTCTATAAAAAACATACCATTCTTTTCAGCACAGTCAATTCCATCCTTTAAAAGTAAATACCACAAATAGATCAGTAAGCCAGAAGTAATCTTCATGACTAACAACACTGGTAAAGACTACGATACTCACTTGAGTTGTTACTTCTCTTTTTTCGTGGAGATCAGCTTTGTTGCCAACTAGAGCCATGACAATATCAGGGCTTCCATGTTTTTGTAATTCCTATGAATGCCAACCAATTAGCAGCTACTAAATAGAACATTTTACACAACAAAATTTCAGAAGAACGCATATCATTTAGCACAAGCTTGTCCAACGGGATGATTAGCCACAGGAAATGTGAAGATTCATAAAGCTGAACCCACTTGCTCGGGATTGGGGTCTCGTTGTTGTTGTTGTTGGTCCAACAGAATGACTCACTTAGAGAAAGAAGAAAGACTAAATGCATTGGACGCCAATAATCATGAATCGGCAAACTTGACTTTATCCTTTGTGCTGATTGACATCTCTCAGATATGGATCTCATGCAGAATACCTAAATCTTGAGTTATGACCAGAAGTATCATTTATCTATCTTTTATCTTTTCCATCTTTTGCCAAATATTGTTCTATTCAAACAAAGAACTGCTGTATTAACAAACAAATTTTGTAATAAATTCTTCTATCAGGAATCCCTAGGGGCAAGAATGAGCTTGAAAACATATAAGCTCATGATAACAGTAGGTAAACTTAACATCTTTTCCCTACATATACCTTGAAAGAATCTTCTAGAGATGTTTATCAATAAATTACAGTAAGTTAGTTTGTGACCTCCTACTCTGATTCTTGGTTCATATCAAGGACACTTAACACTCAGAATAATCAACATTGTACGTGAACTCAAGGTAGAGGTATGTTTATGGTCCTAAACCACAGGTTTACTCCTACTGAAACAAGAGAAAAAAGTAAGATTGAGAATGTTGTTCCCTCTTTTTACTTTTTGATCCCAGGCCTTAAAAGTAGGTTTATGAATAGAAAAGAGTCTGCATTAAGTTCAGTTTCACACGTGAAAATCTCTTTAAGGTCATCTTTGGCTGTCAACCCATATTGGTTGCCCCTTCCCAAGTTTTGCACACACCTAATTGCAAGATCTCATTCCCTCGCACAAGACAAAGACCTTTCATTGGACAGAATGTGATTTTGGAGCAGTCAAAGGGAAGTAACATTTTCATTTAAGGCGATGTGTTAACACTAAATTCCAAAATGAAAAGAGATAACATAATCTAGACATTTGGTTACTCCCACCTCCTTTTGACCTCATTTTTTCTAGTAAAATATCATTTTCATCAGAATTGGACAAATTGCATGCATATACCAAAATACACACAAACAGCTGTAGAAGTGAATCCATTCTAACTAAAATAGTAGAAGAAGCAATTTTCATTTCATCATTTCATATCAACGAGATTTTGGTTGGCTAGTGTTCTTTGGATATCAGAAACCTGTGAGCATGTAACATAGATAAAAAAATTTACAGCAACTACTACTATGACTCTTTCTGAAAAAACACTACTTTACTACTACGCCTCAGTCCCAAAAGGTTGGAGTTCGGCATATGAATTCTCACTTACCAAGTTTCTCCATTTAAATTCATCTCAGGTCAACACTATACAAAACAAAAAGTATCAAAAGTTATCTATATTTACTACTAGCATAAAAATCTATGATAGGGTTAAAAGACTCCTAGAAAGCATAGGGCCTAAAGCAAATGTGCTAACATCGCTTATATAGATTTCTTCCATTGTGCCTCATCTTTCACTAAGTCTGCATGGATTCAAAAAAATCGTAGGTCTTTCGAGAGTGTCCTTTCATGTGATTGAGGTTTACCTCATTCCTTTTTAACACCTTCATTCACCATGGTTTCACACCTTCGAACTGGTGCATCTGATATACTTTTTGCTTTACTAAATGATGAGGGAGTGACTGAGTGACCATATAAGAGGATTGGATTCCTGCGAATTTGGCTCCAATTGAATAGAGCAAATCCCCTGGTGTATTGTCATAAGAAAAGGTGCAATCTCCTGCTATGATGAGTATTAAAAAGGAAGCAGCAACATGCACTCATTTACACATAGATAAATGCAGCCCAGCAGAACAAAGATCCTGTGTCCCCCCAACCCCTCAAGAAGAAAGGATAAAGAAGAAGAAAAAAGTGGATAAATAGAGAATTAGAAAATGGTAATGTACATGTGAAGAGTAGCTTCGTGTCTCTAGTTTCTTTTTGGTGTATCCATGAGTTTCTTGTTTGTATAGATGATTCGGTAACTTATGTAAAGACCCATATTTTGGTCTAGATTTCTCTACATTTGGAATACTTGTTGTATGCAGGGATTCCCATAACATAACTAACACTGTTTACCTTATCAAAAGAGAAATGAAATGGTCACTCACACAAACAGGCTAGCAAATTACTTCCACAAAAGAAAAAAAGAAAAGAAATTGAGAAAATAAAAAAGGATTATTGCAAGAAGAAATCAAAATGGTAGACTACTATTGCTATATGATCGCTATTATCTCATGCAAATATGAATACAAACAAAAGGGAAAGAAGACACTCTTCCATTCTTTAAGTGAAATACCTTGACCCAGTATTGTGCTTTGGCAAAAGATTCAGGACTAGTAATATCATACACAACAACTGCAACTGCAGCACCTCGGTAGTACAGGGGTGCAAGTGCTGCGTACCTGAAAGTAAGGCAGATAACAGAACTTGAAGGTCTAGTTTACAATATCTTTTGTTAAATCATCAGGATTTATCATTTTTAGTGTCAAGGGTTGGGCTAGCTAGCTCATGGTGATTTCCCAGTTATCAAAACAAAAGTTATTCAGAGTCAAGACCAGAAAGAGATAAATCCAATACCTCTCCTGACCCGCTGTATCCCATATTTCAAATTTAACTGTAGTTGAGTCCTGCAACGCTATTGTTTGAGACAGAAAAGAAGCTCCTACAGTCACCTAAAGTCATCAAAGCAAGAATTATAAATGCTCTTTTGAAAAACAAGAAACACATACACCATCATAGCCAACCTAACGCACACCAGAAAGTAAGGAAAAAGGTGGGAGGTGGGAACCAAATACAATAGACGGATGTCACATAATATAAGAACACATTTGTTCTATATATTCTTACCTTAGATGTTGGATCAAATTGACCACGGACAAAGCGCAAAACAATACAGCTTTTACCAACACCAGAATCGCCCAAGAGTACCAGCTGCAAATGATGTTCGGACAAAAATGCAATATCAGAATCATAGGGGCAAGGTACATATTAGATCATATTTTGACGATGAGAATGATTACATAGTGTCCAAGACTATTAGCACACATTTGAATGTGTGAAGAGACCATAACAAGCTGCAGGCCATGCATGTGCTAAAAAGTGAATTGAAGAAATTTCTGCAATTCAGGAAACATTAATGCAACACCTTCCTAATCGTATCAGCTCGAGTCATTAATGCAGGAGATCTAGTATAAACCGATATTGTTGAATTTTGTGAACTATCCCATCTAGAGCTTAAGCTGGTAGAGAGAAATAACCCTTATTTACTTAATTATATTTCCAAAACTCACTCTTTTTTTTATAAGGAAAAAATTTGAACCATTTCTCGATTGTGCGTGTCATCCTTGCGCATGGGCCTTACTCCTTCTCAACTCTCAAGTCCGGGGTTGATTCTTTTTTATGGAAAAGTAATTGCGCTTTTTACTTCGAATGAAACGTGGCATTTGAGACTTGAATCTAAAACTTCTCTTTACCATGTTGAATTATGTGAGCAGCCTCATTGAAAAGCCTAAACTGCTATAAAGAACATACTTTTTCTTTACTTAAAATGTGCCTTTAACATTATATAACTATCACACGCGCAACTAAAAAATGAAAATGAGAATAAAAGCAAATTAAAGGGGAAACTCTAGAGGCCTACGGATCTTTTACCAATCATGAAATTTGCACCACAAACAATATAAGATAAACAAGGACTATGTGGGTCTTCTTCAAGTTAATTCAGGAAATGTTTATCATTTACCATCATTGCAGGGAACCTAGGAAAGAGGGGACAATAGCAGAAAAGTTTCGTGCATCGGTAGAATGGGCCAACATTATTGAGTCATCCAAAACAAAAAGAGTGACATAAGTTGGAACATATGGACTAATACTCTGCCATAGTACAAAGGGCTCAAGCTCAAGCTTTACCTTCACTTTAAGATTTTTAGGGTCAACTGCTCCACCATTATCAGGATTAAGGCTAGCAGTCCGTCCTGAATTCCTATCTGCATAAACACAAGGAAGTATTAACTAAACAACCTCCTCAGTCTATTTGAGATTTTGGAGCCTGTAATATAAACACACACCAGTAGCGCAAATTAAATTGGCATGGCGCTAGAAATGATATATTTACAGTCAAATCTGCCAATACATGCTCTTTCTTGAGAAACGTTATGCTAGAAAATTGGCGTTGGAAACTAATTTGGAAGAGAATACACTCCTATGCTATATTTCTTCATTGAAGCATCGCAAAAGACATTCGGAACCTATTTTTGCACATTTCTTGGGGTTCTCTGGGTGATGCCCTTCAACTTAAAGGAGGCCTATGCTAGTTGGGGTACGTGGAGAGTTGGGAAATCCATCAAAAAGATATGGCAATCATTCCATGCTTGCATTTTTTGGTGTATTTGAACAGAAAGGAAGCGCAGATGTTTTGATGGAATTTCAACGCCAATCCATTCTCTAAAGCTAGGTGTCTTTCTAAACATTTTTTTTGCTGGAGTAACTTACCATATTTAAATAATACTAATGAGGTTTTAGATTTTGTCAGCTCCTTAGAACTTGTAGAGCAGTACATTTGTATTGGAGCTCACTCTTTTCTACTTTTTGCATCCCCTGGGAGGTTTTTTTAATGAAAATCCCCTTACTTCATCAAATAAACAATAGCTAGTATAAGTTACTGGGTTCTAAATTAATAATTTTTAGATATTTCAATGAATTTTGTAAGACGAATACAAGGTTTGAACCAATGCTACTACTTGGTTCAGCCGAACCCGTAGCAGACGCTCTAGCTCCGTCCCTTCTCCCACTCCACCCTACTCCCAGCCACAACTTAATATAGATACAAAAGAAAAAAAAAATCAAGGTCAGAAAATATAATCTCAAAAGTCAATAAGAATTAATTCGAGGGTGCCCACGTAAAAGAAATTCAGGATAACTAGTCAATGAACCCAATTAAATTTTAATTTTACTCCAAAATCAAGCAAAAAAATAACAGACCCAGATTATTTAAAAAAACGAGGGTTTTACACAGAAAAATCATACCTGCAACTGAAGATGCGCAACCCATAACCAAGCAAGATCAATCGGGTATTTATGACTTGTTTGTATCTTAATTGTATCAATAAATGGGTCAATTGTGTAGTAAAAATGGTTGGGGTGGGGGTGGGGGTGGAGCTGGGGCTGGGGCTGGTTTATTCTAAGCTTCGAGGAAGAGAAGAAGAAGTTAGCTCAATGCTGAATGGGGTTGGAGGGGAGAGAGAGGGGATTTGGCCCGGGGGGGGGGGGGGGGTCGTGGAAGACCACTTGGTATGTAAGCAAACATTTTAGATTAGAACTATAGCATTTCTTTAGACGCCACGTTTTTGTCTCTTTCTTACACGTTTTTCTGATTTTAATTGGAGTTTAGGGGTTCTTATCCGCCGGAAATTTATTGGTTATCGGCTTATAAATATACTAATTTGCTAGCCACCTGATAAGATATCGGGCGGATTAGTATTGAATTAGCGATTATCGAACGGTTATCGAGCGATTTATTGGCTAAATCAAATAGATAATATAAATTACATAAGTAAGCAAGACACTAAACGATAGATATATATAAATTGGGGATCCTTAATCAGTAATAGAAGTTCAGCTAACAAAAATTATGAATAGAGTTTTGCTTCAGTTACCGTGTTAAATGATTTATTTTAGCGGAAAGATATCAAGAACTATCTAGATCTGCCTAGTTCTACCCCAAAAACAAGTTAAGATGACTTTGAAGCTCAAGCTGCTAAGAAGTTACTTCATAATGGATAAAAATATAAATGTAATAATTCTTAATGGGTTAACAGTTTATCCGATAAGAAAATTAAGTAATTCGTCCCGAATCGATAAACCATTAATTATAAAATTTTAATCTGTTCACCAACCGTTAATCTGATAACCCGATACCAATAAGCCATTAAGTCACTTTTACGGTTCGGTTTTGAACAACCATACCTAATAGTATATGAGGAGAGTGTAAAGACTATCAGGTTATCTAAATAAGATTATATGTATTTCTTTGTAAAAAGTCAAAATTTGTATTTTAAAATGAGGTCGTTTATCTGTTTAGACAGATAAAAATAATTGAATAGAGTAAAAATTATTTATTGTGTCGATACATAAACAAGTCAAACTCTTTTTATTAAGTATTTAGCTTTGGAACTCCTTTTAGGGCTTAAGCTAGTTAGGATTAGCTGATCGTAAATAGTAGATAAGCTTGAAGTGCAGAAAAACATTTTAAAAAAAAATAAGTATCTATGTATTTGGATACACCAAGGCACATACAAAGGAGGATACCTTGGTGTATGTTATTTGCTGATGACATAGTACTGATTGACGAGACGCGAGGGAGTGTTAACACTAAGTTGGAAGTTTGGAGACTGACGCTGGAGTCCAAAAGTTTCAAGTTGAGTAGGTCGAAAACTAAATACTTGGAGTGCAAGTTGAGTGATGAGAGGCATGAAGAAGAAGTGGAAGTAAAGATTGATACTCAAGTCATTCCCAAAAGAGACAGTTTCAAGTATCTTAGGTCTATAATCCAAGGAGACAGGGAGATTGATGAGGATGTTACTCACCGCATTGGAGCGGGTTGGATGAGATGGAGGCTATCTTCGAGGGTTTTATGCGATAAGAATGTTGATCACGCCCAACTCTAGTCCTAAAAAGGATAAGCGGTCGCTGCAAATATAATCCGGTCTAAAAGTCCGGAGTCGAATCCCACAGAGAACTAAGGCTTAGCTGTATCTGTTTAATATCACCAAGAAGACAAGATTGAAAATAAATAAACAGCTGAAAACTAACTATGCTTGAATTGTAAAAAGTTAGAATAAAGGTCTAAGGTAATGGTTTCCCCCGTTGTTGATTTCCTTGGTTGTATGTTTCTTATAGTGTTTAATTAGTTGCCTCTATCAATCATGAACTCTCCAGCTATCATAAATCTCTCTCAAGCAATTATGATAATTTACTAGACGTACTCTCTCAAGCTACGCTAGCTAGATTCGCATTACAGTTCACTTAGATCGCACCCGAGGTATCGTTATCTCTAATCCAACCTCTAAACCCTCGGTTATGACTCTCGCCTATACTCCGGGAGTGATGTTGTTCAAACAACTACCTAAATATGCACTCTCTCTCAAGCAGATACATCATAAATAGGAACGGCTAATTGAGGATCCTTTCAATTAACCACAATCAAAACATAGTTGAACAAATAGAGATTAAACTAATTCAAATCTATATTACTTATAACAACCAATTCATCCCCAACGGGTTTCACCAAAACCTTAGATTAGAAAAGTTAGCTACTCATAATAGTATGTAAAACTACAATATCAAAAGTCATAACCAACAATGAAAAATAAGAAGAGGAAGGAAAAACTTGTTGAAGAATTCCCCGCCTTGCTCTTCTTGTGTCTCTGCCTCCTTAGGTCAAATATGTGCCAAAAATATGTCCCCTCTTTGTTCTTGGCCGGCCTCCTACGTTTAATATAGGGTTTAGGGCTTAAAATCCCGTGTTTTGCACTTTGGTCCCTGAAATTTACGTGTCCTGCCGTGGTCCCACCGCGGTTACGCCAGGACCGCGGCCAGAATGGTCCTCTGAATCTTTGGTAATGTTCTGCCGCGGTGTTCTGCCGCGGTCCTACCGTAACTGCGGTTTTTCACCCTGGTCCGTTTGGAATTTGGAAAAATGTAAAACATGCAAGTTGTATCCCTTTGAGTTAGCTTTCCAACCATATATTGTGGAGCCCAAATGGAGTTCTGAGCAAAAACTTATGTCTATTTTACTAGACAGTGCGCAATATGCCTCATCGAATCTTCTTTTGTTCTCAACTATCAAATTTGACCCCCCAACACGATCCCGGCTTAATTCCTTGAGCTTTTACTCAGACTTCAAAGCTTCAAATCACTTAAATTCATTCCATAACATCTATATAGCTCGAAATCACACTTACAAGACATAAAACACACAATTAGTGCAAAACACTAGCGATTAAAGCGCAAACTCAACTAAAGTGCAGTAAATTAGAGTGTAATAAGCGACTAAAATAAGTAATTATAGCCTATAATCAAATGTGCCGCCTAGACTTAAGGGTAAATACGTGTTATGTTGTATGGAGCTGAGTGCTGGCACATCAAGAAGTCCCTTGTCTAGAAGATGAGCGTAGCTGAAATGAGGATGTTGAGATTGATGTGTGGACATACCAGGAAAGACAAGATTGGGAATGAAGTTATTAGGGACAAGGTAGGAGTGGCATCTGTGGAAGATAAGTTGTGGGAATCGAGGTTACGATGATTTGGGCATGTGAGGAGGAGAGACATAGATATCCCGGTTAGGAAGTGTAAGAGGTTGACCATGGCGGACTTGAGGATAGGCATGGGTAGGCCAAAGAAATATTGGGGAGAGGTGATTAGGCAGGACATGTTGGTATTTCACGTAACCAAGGACATGACTAACGATAGGAAGGTGTGGAGGTCGAGGATTAAGGTGGTGGGTTGTAACGACCCGGCCGGTCGTTTCGAGAGCTGTAGCCACGTTCCCCTATTTTCTGCTCCTTTTGTACTCTACAACTGTTATATGATGTACTGGGTTGGTTGGTTTGGGTCCAGAGAGATTTCGAAGTGAATTGAGACACTTAGTCTCTTAATTGGAAGCTTAAGTTGGAAAAGTTGACCGGATGTTGACTTATGTGTAAATGACCTTGGATTTGAATTTTGTTGGTTCCGTTAGCTCCGTTGGGTGATTCTGGACTTAGAAACATGTCCGGATTGTGATTTGGAGGTCCGTAGTAGAATTAGGCTTGAAATGGCAAAAGTTGAATTTTAAAACGTTTGACCGGGAGTGGACTTTTTGATATCGGGGTGGGATTGGATATTCAGAAGTTGGAGTAGGTTCGTGGGGTCATTTGTGACTTGTGTGCAAAATTTGAGGTCAATTGGACGTGATTTAATATGTTTTGGCGTCGTTTGTAGAATTTGGAAATTTCAAAGTTCATTAGGCTTGAATCCGGGTGCAATTCGTATTTTTGATGTCGTTTGAGGTGATCGACTAAGTTCGTGTTGGGTTATAGGACTTGTTGGTATGTTTGGTTGAGTTCCTGGGGGCCTCGGGTTGATTTCGGGTGGCTAACGGATCAAAGCTTGATGTTGAAAGATTGCTGAAGTTGATTCCTGCTGGTGTAAACGCACCTACGGATGAGGAACCACAGGTGCGAGCCCGCAGAAGCGGGAAGGAGCCCGTAGAAGCGAAAAGGAGGAAGCTTGGCAGTGGCTGCAGGTGCGAGGTTCATACCGTACCTGCGAGCCTGCAGATGCTGGCGTGTTGCGCAGAAGCGCTTTCGCAGAAGCGGATAGGGGTGCGCATATGCGGTAGCTTAGGAACTTAAGTGACTTCCGCAGAAGCGGAGAATTCACCGCAAAGCGGTTCCGCAGGTGCGGAAATATGGCCGTAAGTGCAAAAAGCCTGGGCATAATGTTTAAAAATGAGGGTTCGCAGTTTTGGCTTCATTTCAACATTTTGAACTCGGTCTTAGGCGATTTTGGAGAGGATTATCGAGGGGAGTCTTGAGGTAAGCTTCTTGTACTTGTTTTTTTATCAACAATCTTGTTTCCCCATTATTTTTCCCACCTAGATTGTGTGGTTTTGAGGTGAAATTTGGGGGTTTGAGGCTAGGGATTTGGAGAGAGTGGATTTGGGGGTTTTAGGTGACGATTTGGTGTTGGATTTTGATAAAATTGTATAGTTGGACTCGTGAGGGAATGGGCTTTCGGGTTTGTGACTTTTGTCGGATTTTGAGACGTGGGCCCGGGGGCCGGCTTTTGGCCAATTTCGTATTTTGGCTTATAAATTCGTATTTTTCTTGTGGAATTAATTCCTTTATCCCAAATTGATTGTATTGTACTACTTGTGGCTAGATTCGAGACGTTTAGAGACCGATTTGAGAGGCAAAGGCGTGTTGGAGTAGAGTTTTGCCCGAAACGAGGTAAGTAACACTTTCAAACTTGGTTCTGAGTGTTCGAAACCCCTAATTATATGTTATGTGATTGATATTGAGGTGACTCATGCCAAGCGACGGGCGTGCGGGCATGCACCATGAGAATTGAGACCTGGTCGATTCCATGGCACTGTAAAGTGGTCCTATCTTGTGGATATCCGTGTTTCACCATGTGATAAAATAATTGAACTGTCAATCATGCTAGAGATTATGTTTAGGATATATGCTAGTACTGTTGGGACACATAGTGGTCGTTTCTTGCT